GGCCGATGTCCGATATTCAGTTTTAAGGCCGATACCGATAGGGGGCCGATTATATCGTGCATCCCTACTTTTTTATTCACGTTATCTTAGTCCATCATTTTACGAACTCTTTTCTTTTGCTCATATTTTGATCTTCAACCCAAATGTCTTTAGTGAACAACAAAAACCGAATGGTATTTCGATATTCTCCAGTAAACTGTTTCCTTTCATCTCATCTTTCATGTCTCGCTCAGTAACCTTTGGGATGGACGGTATAAAGTCCTCTGGCATTTCCTCCGTATTAGTGGCTGCATCCCATGCTCCCTTATTTGAACCTGAAGGTCCTTCATCTCCCCCTGTTTTCCTGCAAACCCACACGCAACCAAGTCCTTCCCAACAGGGCCGACCTTCATCTAATGTCAGCTCATGGCCATCTTTTTCACATGCTCTTCCTCCAACACTTCCAAAAATCTTTCAGTCAACTTCCAGATCAGGTATCCGCCTAGAAACTCTGAATTCTTTCTGTTCTCTTCTGTCTTGATAGCCTGCACTCCTAAAACGGTCTAGAAATGAGTAAAAATGTCTTAAATTAAGTGTATTTACACTAATTTGAGAAGGTAAATAAGATGATTTGCCAATGGAATGAGTAATTTTACTCTTAAATTAAGATCATTAGATAATATTAACTTGAAATAAGACGGTGGGATAGGTTTTATCTTATTTTAAATGTAAACTGTGTTGTCTCGCTTGCCTCCTCATTTCAAGAAAAAAGGCACTTAATTGAAGAAAAAAATGACTTATTTAGATGTACATTTTTTGCACTGTGATGATTTTACGTATGGCTGCATATTAGTAAAAAAAGGGCTGAATAGATGAATAAATGTGTCGTGTTTGGATGGAGGTTTTTGAGAACCAGAAGGCAGAGATCAGGAGGCAGTGTTGAGTCTTGCAGATTTAATAGGTAACTGAGGCAGAAATACAAAAATACAGATAACAAAAATGTCAGGGAGAACTCACCTAAGGAACCAGAGATGAGGAAGCAACAAACAATAAACCAGCACTGATGTGGTGTATATATGGGAGACTGAACCAAGGCAGGCTAATCAGCAGATATGGAGCAGATGTGGGCAGTACCAATGAGGAGGAAGCCAAGGGGAAAGGAAAACGAGCACCAGGGGGCGACAGAGAGCAACTTAAGAACTCAGCACTGGTAGAAATAAACTACAAAGACACAGAACACAAATAAACTTAAAAATAAACCCAAGCAGAGTGCAGAACACTGACAAAATTAGAGTTAATTGCTTTCTGGGGATTTTTCCTAACCGCCAGAGCGGGAAGTCAAAGTCGCAAATGAAAGAATCAGGGGCTAATTTTCATTTAGCACAAGAACATGCTAGCAGCAGGCGAGAAGGAGAACAAATGTCCTGAATTCTCACATTTTGACATTTATTTGCTGCATTAAATCTGCCGAACCAATAAAGAGACTGAGATCAACTCCTTCAGAGCTGAAATAAAGAGCTGAT